CTTCACTTTTATTTTCACTTTGTTCATTGCATTAAAAATACTAAATGTTGGCATTTTTCCTTGTAGGCTGCCGATGCCATTGTGCGTTCCATCCGGGACTTGTTTACTTCTTGGGGATAAGTAAAGATGTCCTGCCTTTCTTCCACCAGTCATCCTTCTACTACATCTTCTGCTTTTTCAGAAGAAATATATGGAGATTCTCAAGTAATCAGTGCTTGAGTATGTTTCTTTCATGGACATGGACATCGGTAAGGCTAGTGCTGCCAGACAAAAGGAGAAATTTGAGCTTTTAAGTACGAAATTGGCACAACCACTTACACTTCCATAGCTCAATGTTTCCTCAGACTTTAAGGCGACGTTGAAGGCTATCCATTCTGAAATCCTCTCCTTCTAGCCAAAAATGTTGAACTTAAGGCCATGATTACTCACTATCTTCGTTCCGCATCTGAAACAGAATCTTTGCTTAAAGAGATTGATAAAGCCAATGCTGATTTGAACGAAATCTCCTCCGAAGTCATGATTGAAGATTCCCTGATGATAAGTTTGGCTGCAAAGATGAAGGAAATTCAAACGAAGATGGATGACTGCAGGGCTAGGATGGCTGCCAAAAAGTGCAATGCTTCCCAAGGAATAGAGTGAACTAAGTCTTTGGTTGAAAATTACAAAAAGCTAGAAGTTGATGACGATGTGGTAACCGAAATAACTACCACTTCTTCTAGGCAAAGCGATGATTGGGTAAAGCTTAGAGAACAGATGCGTTCGGTTTTGGGTGAATTGTAATTAAGACATTTGATACCTTTATTTTCCTTTTGTAATTTTGCACTAGCTGCTATTGCTAATTTTGAATGTAACGACAGCCACTGTCATTAATGAACGACTGTTTTATTTACTTGCGTATTAATTGACATCTTCCTCAATCGTCAACCCCCCAAGCATTTAATTACCTTATGCTAAAACTCATGTACATTTTCCCTCGGTATTCCAATCTCCTTTTCCAATACTTTGGGCAATTTAAATTTCAGTTACGATTCNCTTATGCTAAAACTCATGTACATTCATCCTGGTATTCGCATCTATTTTTCCAAGACTTTGGGCCATTACTATGCACGTATGTGGTCGTTCATATTCTGTCCTTTCATCTTCATGCCTCTATAAATGCGTATGTGTTCCACACTTATCATCTTCATTTCAATTCTTTTCTTCCAAAAGACTAATTTGCTGCCATCGTTTGACATCTCATTCAATTGATCAAACACTTCCCTCTTCGATAGAAATGGAACATTTGATCTATTGTCTATTTTGCTATCTGTCTTGATGTCGACTTTGGTATGAGAGAGATATGAAATGTTCTGTGGCCAATAAATATCTTTTCGGCGTCTCCATGTTCTCCATAAGGAGTTTAATGATGGAAGTCGATTTGAGGATGCCTTTCAGGCCACTTAGCTTGCTGAGAGTGTTTCTCAGCCTCTTTGCTTGTTATTGCAGCAATGCAATTAGGAAGGCGGTTTGCGAGTACTTTTCAGCCTTTTTACCTGCTGAGAGTGCTTCTCAACCTCTCTGCCTGCCATTGCAGTAGTGCGATCAAGAAGGCAACCAGGGCGAGTTCACCCTCTTTCTTCACGATCAACAGAAGAAATGGTCTGCTCCCAATTGTAGCTTATAGAACATCTTGTACATTGTGTCTCACAATTTGTAATGAGTATTCGATAATAAAGGAATTTATTTGAACGTACTTTGTTCTTATATTATTTATTTACAATCACTCAACACAATTATTTTGATTATGCTTTTATTTGTTCACTTTTTCATAAGAAATGAACATACTTTTTTAAGTATTTGCCATTAATGAATCTCATGTGCTTAGTACCGTCTAAATCTTCTAAATGATAGGCTCCATTAGGCAATATACTATTCACTTTAAATGGCCCTTCACAATTGGGTGACCATTGGCCATACTTTGGATCTTTACTATCCAAAGGGAGTATTGTTTTCCAAACCAATTCGCCTAGG